TTAAACAATCATGTATCACTGTTAATCAGAATTAAAAGAAATTATCCGAGAAGAAATAAAGAATTATAATCACTAGGATTAAATTCCTAAGAATAAGATTACATTATTACATAAAAGAATTTTCAGTGACAGAAGAAATGAAAAATTACATTTTAGTAGGATATTATTACCATATGTTGTAACAAGAAGTTATACTGTATATTTTTAAACAGTTTTTCAGTTTACTATAACCAAAACCCAGCACTGTTTCGTTTTAACGTTTATTGGGAAACAATTACTTCGTTGCAATTCTAAATTTGGAGAAAGTAGGGAAGATTATGATTAACGTTAGAAAAAATTATTTTTTCACGATCTAGCACATGAAATTTACATCATTATATTATTGTCTACTAGTTTCTCTGGTATCGACGAGTGCATGCAGCTGCAGTAGATACATCATAATTCGTATATTGAGTTAACAGTTCTATTAATTTACACATGTGTTGTAGATTTGTTTTTTGTTTTGTAGTATTTGTTTTGTTTATAGAAATGTAGAAATTAATTTTCGACTCCATAGTATCTGTAGATATCGCGCATTATTTTCATTTTTATTCACATTCTTTCATTCTAATACTTTAGTTTCTCTTCATCGCACTATTCGGTACAATTCCTTAATTAGCTTAATAAGCACTTAGACATAATTTAGTTATCATCGAATTTCATAGTTATTATCATTAGTGTGAGTTATGTTTTGTTGTAGTTTTTCGTTTCATTATAGATAACAAAAGAAATGAACATGTTACGGTAATTAGTGGTTTCTTTTTTCATTTATCTTAGACGAGTGGTTACACGAATAAATCGAATAGCTTGAGAAATTTCAATTGGAGAAATTAATAATCAATTATTATTAAAATTGGTCCTCCCGATCGGTCATACTGTTGCTGGGAAAGAAATTTACGTAAATACAGATGTTTAATTGTCAATCCGCGATAATCGAATCTTTCCACATTAATTAGCATATGAAATTACATTCATTGTGGTGTTCGTCTGCGTAAGTAGTATAGCAAAAATTTAATAAAATCAGCGTTTCTCACTCTTTAGCATTTTATGTTCCTCTACAATACAATTTTTGTCACGCCAAGAATAATTAAATAATATACACTTCAAGGTACTTGAAATAAATTATTTTTTAATCACGTTAGCTTCCTTTTTTTATAATTTTTTTAAAATTTGAACTTCATGGAAATGTCACGGATAGTTTGAGAAATGCTGTTTAAATGAAAATGTTTTGAGTGATTCAGTATTTTCTATCTATTTTCTATGTCCTGATATTATATATTATATATATACATTTGATTTAGGATGTTTAGAATACAGTTTTCAGTATTTTTTTTCTCGGTGTGTGTAACTTGTACATGTTCTCTAAATATATGGACCCGGTTATATTATTACATTCATATATATATGCGTTCTATTTATGTCATTTTATTCTCGATTGCAGAAAAGGGAGCAATGAATTGATAGTTGTAGCGAGCACGGTAGATTGGACACATTTGTTATTACAATTTCTTTCCATGGTAACATTAGACAGGGCACATTTTCATATTCTATTTCATTTTCTCGATTTTATTACGTATACAGGTGGTGTTCCATCTGATTATCGTGACAGGCGCCTAAACGCTTTTTTTTTATTGTGTAATGGCTACGTATTGTTTGTGTCACGAACATCGTCTGGTTTCCATTGATACATCGACTTTATTCTGCCTCAGTCCATTACCTAAATTATAACGGAGAAATATTGCCCCCATTGGAGAGGGAAATGGAAATGGTTATTTAATTTAACTTGATTATTCATGTACTCGAAGAATTCTTTAATAGTACAGAGCGAAGGATCTCAAGAAAATTCTGTGAAGGTTTAATGAGATAGGAATAAAAGATAAACGTAAAGTAAAAGAAGAATATATAAAAGATTATAGATGTTTATTCGTTTGTATTATCTTCTTACCTGCAAAACGTGGGAAAACTAATATTTTAATAAATTTTAGTAGTCCTACTTATATATTAATGCTATTGTATTAAAAATCATAGTACAGAACATGAAACGTACATTACCAATAATTGAAATAGATTTTATGCAACAATTTAACATGTTTACCCATAGTGACAGTTATTCTCTCGCACAATATAACTTTTTATTTAGTCGCACTTCTCTATTATTAACCAGAAATAATATGTCCCAAATATTACTTTAATATTAGTACATTTCATTCTTAAAGCTCCACAATTTTACTCACAATGAATTTTCGAAGACCCTTTTTACAAAAACATCAATTCACTTAAAAGAACTACTAACATAAACACTGTAAAAATCATTTATTAACTTATTTTAATGCATTTCATATATTATTATACAGTATCAATAATAGTAACTATAAAGCTATAAGATATATAAATACAAAGACAATAAAAAGATCTTATTAACAGTGGTTAGTGATTATGACAATTATGAGCTATTGTAGTTTGCGTAATGGACAGCGCTCGATGGACCATTGGGTATCCATTTCACGTTGTTCGTCACACATTGACAATTCTAGCCATTGAAAATATCGAAGGCGGCACGTGCAAGGGATAAAAAGTATATGCGTGCCTGTAAGCATGGGGCTGTAGGCTCTTGCTGATAATAAGTATATATAATGCGCTATAAAAGGGGGGGCAGTTAGGTCACGATCAGTGTGACACACTGTACTTGTCTTAACCATTGTTGCTTTGTCTATTAGCTATGCCGGACACCGAGTCTAGATACGAATTAATGCTGATGTATTAATTGTAGGTGAGGTCAGTCGCGATCGAGACGACCCAAACGGTGAGTTTCGAACGTACCTAATTCACCTGTCCCTTGTTGTGTTCTTTAAAGAAACTTTTTTCTTATCACTTCATTGCATCGTAACGAAGAAGGTATACAGAGCACATTTGATGTTCATGTAACAAATATAGTGACTTGTCCGAGAATATAATTCGAGTGGCCAACGAATCGATGATTTCGCTAGGTACCGAGTCGTCAAAATGAGTTACTCTCGATATACTGAAAAAGGATCACCTCTAGGGCCATAATTAGTGTATCCAGCGTTTAGCTACTGCCCTCCGCTGTCGTTGCTCGCTTCAGATACCTGAGCCTAAACGCTATATTCTTCTAGCAAGGAAAGGGCCCCAGCTTCGGATCGCCAGTTTTAATGAAACTTTTAGGATATGTAGTAGGCTACTTCCTCTTTACAAATCACCTCACGTATAGGGTCAGATACCCAAAAGCTTTTGAGTTATTTGTTTGTGAAGAGATGTAGAAGCTTGCCACCTGTTCTGAAAGTTTCATTAAAATCATTGTTTAGAAGTTGGTGCGCTCTCGTTCTAAGATGAATCAGTTCAGATCCATTTTTCATCAATCGACGCCCAAAATCTCAACCTTTCAATACTCTCCCGCTTTTAACGAAGTCACTATGTTTGTTCCACCAAATATACAGTAATGCCTCGCTAGTAGTCCGCCAGACCTCATTGCTAGTCCATCGATAATTCCCTCTTCCCTGTGATTCTGTGAATCTCTCGGAGCAAGCCTTGCAAATTGTGCTCGAAACTTGAGGACCGTAAACTCAGTGTTACGATTCGCTGTTAACGAATTATACTTTTATACTTCCTCTTTTATATTTATGCGATGATTCCCAAACCGCATTTGACAGATTTCTACAACGGATTGAGGTAAATTGTAGTCTCTTTGGACTAGTTCTGATTCCAGCCTACGACACTTTGATCTGTGGAATAATGAAGTATTTCGAATTATGTTTAATGCAAAAAACATTGTGGAATATGGTGTTAATTGGGTTCTTTATTATTGGGAAAGAATTTCTAGTCGATTGGTAATACTCTTTCGTCTATGGAATGTCGAAGTAGTGGTACTAGTTTCTTGGAGATGCAACGGAAGAACTGGTTGTTATTCCATTTCTGCGTGATGATTCTTGACTACCAATTGGTAGTGGGTAGGACAAGAATTATACTAGGTGTGTCTACAAGAAGGTAACTTTCTTGAGGCATTATTATTATCAATAATAATGTATATATTATTATGTAATATCTAATGTAATATATATTATTATCCGAGCGAGGTATTACTATATTTGGCACCGTTTCCATCACAAATAGCTATGAAAAGAATACAAATATATGCACTACTGCGGATCACCATGATTTACACAAACCTGCACCGTGTACTGTACTTTTTTAATTTGATGTTTATGTATAGTCTGATAAGTTATAGAAGGTCCCTGATATATATTGATCTAACTGTGGTAGAATGAATGATGGAAATATAAATGATTTAAGTTGCATGGAATTGCGACTTTGTTAAGATTTCCGAGAATATTAATTTGCAATTGTGTCACGATTTTAAAACTATTAAACAGAATAATTCATGTATAGATGAATTAACGAGATGGAGACTAAGGTTTTCAACGTGAAAAAAGTATTCTGATCGTAATTTTACGAGACAAATAGAACTTGTTGCGTAGTGGAACAGTTAACGATGCATTTGTCGTATTTTTTCATTTCGTTAGTCCTGTTCTAATTGTGTTGTATTTTTCTCAGTTGTGTAGATCTTTAAAAATAATGTTCTCTACTCCAAACATTTCCAGGACTTACTAACCGAATCAAAATACATGAAAAATAATGATTTCATCGTTATTCAAGTAACCTATTAAATTCCAAACGATGAATCGATTACGAATGAAACTGTCTAAAATAGTCAACCTGGTGGACAAATTTGTCCGTGTTAACGAGCATGGATTATCATTACTGACGACGACGAATGATTTTAAATGTGTTTAGACGATAATTTTCCCCTTGATGTTAGAAATTTTCCAGTTTATGAACGTTTCGAAAATGCGCACAGTTGGTACCTATTTTTGTTAACAATGTTCACAGTATTCCAATGCATTCTTCAGTAGATCAATACGAAGTTATTCCGCCTTGTGTTGCAGCCATGAGGAACCATCGAAATTCCGTCGGGATGACCATGATGAATTCGACGAAGCAGGTAAACAAGGTGAAACCGAACGTGAATCGAGCGCCGAACGACAACCTGTCAAGTCCAAATCAACCGTACAATCAAAGGTACAATTTAATTAACGTCACACACGATCATTCCCTCCGAGTCTTTCTGTTCGATGTACCACACACGAGTTTAAGTGCTCGTACTTCACTACAGATTAATTGATTACGCAGAAAATAATGCTGTATAAAAGTTGTTGGGTGCAGCCTAAAGGTTCATTGGCGTGTAGACCTTCACTGCACATATGTATGTTACTTAACACTTAACCGGCCATCACACATCTGTGTTTTCAAACAACACCGTTCACGTGTCCAATCATTTGTTCACCGCTTTCATCAGTCATGTCCGTGCTACGAAGATGCAATATCGAACACTAATGAATAGTGTACAGAAATATTGCAAATGAAAGTACCTACGAATTCTAGGTACGTGTTAATTAAATAAATAAAGATAATTATGAATTGAAATTTCTAATCTTAGCATCGGTTTATGTAAAGTACTTAACAGATTTCGGTGCTTCCCTATTAGAATTTTTTTGAATTATTTATAACAGTCATTGCACTGTTGTTTTATTTAAAAGGAGCTATAAAATCTGACAATAAATTTTCCACTTGTATCATTCGATCGGTTAAGTGTTAAAGTATGGTATATTATCTATCTGGGAAGACACTACTCGTGCATTCAAAGTTTTCCAAAGAATATTTATTGTGAAAGTGACAGTTACACAGATTCAATTTATTCGGATGTGAGTACAGTGGAACCATTATTATCCGAAGACTATTCTATGTGAACATTCTATATTTTTTCAGTATAAATCCAATTCAGTATAAATCCAAAATTGGAATTGCTAATATCTTTCTTCTCATTCAGACACAGCTAAGCTAATATTTAAAGAACCGTTTCTACGAAATGTGGTGTAAACCAATCGAGGATAGACATTACAAGGACGAAATATACTATTTGAAACTGCATATCAGTTCAGATTTAACATGCAATGTAGATAAAAAGAATACATCATGTATTACAAAATCGAAAAGTTGAGAAGAACTTGTTTGAAAATCAAATTTCTAAGCAATTAATACTAATTGTAATACACAAAATTTACTATTGTTTGTCTGAGATGGTGTAATCAAGTGCAGTAATATCGTACACACTCGTGTTTTTCGGTTGAATCGGATAATCCAGGGTCTGCTGTACACGTAGTTGCACAGTCTAAGCCTTGACAAAGTTCTTCAACTTTCTCCTCTTTGCAGCCACTCTTCTCTGTCTTACCTTACATCTGAACATTATATACTTCTCTGTCATAGCTGCACGATTAGAACTATATCCGAGCCCTTACGTACACAATGATATTCTTGTAAGCTGCACAAGTAAGGGTTATTCAAACTGTAAGTGACTCTAATTATCAAGTTTATCGATGTCAAATTTGTATCGAACAGACAACGAAACAGTATCGTTCGTATCTTTCAACAGCACACATATTAGCTTCTACTTTTCTGTAATATGTTGACTATGCAACGTGCGACAGTAATAACGGTGCAATCGATATAGTGAATAGGCAGCCAAAAAATTTTGTAAATATCGTTAAACATGGTGAATGTACTATTGTGGCTTTGGGGCAGCATGGCAACCTCTGGTGTAGGACAGTTGGTTTTTATTCAAATGGATAAATTTGAATGTTTAAATAGTTTAAAATCAAATTTAGCTGCAAGTGCATTCATGTGTCTTTTAGTGAAATCGTGACCTAAAATATATATTCAGCAAGGGTGGTTAATAAATGATAGCAGGCAAGTAATATCGAATCGAGATTTTGCCCAGGATTATGAAAAATCTCCCTATTTTAAATTAGTTTCCCTTTTACATCGGTTCGAAAAGTTGTTGAAATGTTGAAGACGGTTCCAAATCCGTAAAATAAATGTTTGTTTATGGCCTCAACGAGTTTACTATATCACTATACCGTTACTGTCGTCTCTCCAAATAAGTACAAGCTGATTCTTCGTGTATGCAACTAAAAATCGTAAAGGTAAATTTAAATTTTCTGTTATTCGAGGCTTTGTTTTCGAAAGAATGGAGTTTGTAGAAACACGAAATTCTTTATTTGTAACAATCCCTAAAACTAATCCTGCTTCTATAAATACTAATTTACAGCCGAATATATTTCCTCCCTCTATAAATATTGAGATATTTATGAAATTTGAAATGAACTTAAAGTGTCATTGTAAAATTATTATTGGTGATATTGAACAAATATCGTCTCTAGACAATAATAAAATTCAATAGTTAGTAATCCACTAATATAAAACCGTGAAAGTGGTACAAAATGAACAAACTGTGTGAAACATCAGACATTTTTTTCTATCAGATGAAGTTTCAAAATCGATATTTCTAACAACGAAACTATTCTTGAAAAAAAAACTAATTCTATGATTTTTACTTACTTTTTACTCGAAGAACCAGCTTAATACACATTTGTGCCATCGATACTGCCGCACTCTGTGTATTTTGAATAACCTAAATAGATTTTCACAGCATTCACGTCTGTTGATTTCTGTTACTGGAATATATACAGACTCTTGTCTAATGAGAAAGCTCCGATCGAACAAGTTTGTACATTACGGAATGCACTGAAATGTCGTACACGTATTCTTTGAACAATCTGTGCATCTGTTTTCCTTTAATTAGCATGACCTTTTCATTATTCAGCAATGCGTATATAAATCATACATGACTCGAAATATCTAACTTAATGATTCTCGGTAGAGAACTTCCATGCGATCCAGAATCATTTTCACGAAATTGGAGAGATTTTTTTGTGTTTGGTTGTTCCCTAGAAGATCATCGTTTTCGTTTGATTTAACATCGTATTTCTCGTTATGTTAAAGCTAGGGGTAATTTAACTCCTCGTTTCATGACACTTCCGAATCTTTGAGGACCTGTTTATAAGATTTATAGGTGTAAAAATGATCAGTGTTACGTTCGCTAAAGCTAAATCAATGTAAGACAGACGTGAAATTCGTAAGATATTCCAAACAATCTCCAAACGATGAAATGTTCGTAGAAAAAAAGGAAAGGTGGTATTGCAACGTTGAAAATTAAGTGGTGATATTGTCTTATTTAATTAAATGAAAATGGAGGATAAATTTATCTTATTATTTTTTAAATTAACTTCAGCTCTTTCAGACAAGGAAACAAATACATTTGAATTGTTAAGCGAACCATTGTGGAACATCCCGATAATTTTTTAGAAATAATTATATTTTCATTTATTGAGTCCGTGTACGTAAAACGGAAGCAAAATTAGGTTTCGAATGATCTAGTAATTAATTTGACATGTTAACCAAATGACAAAGTTTTCCAAATGTTTAGTTTACATTGATTCATGAAGCATTATCATTGATGATAGTACTTGTAGGTTATTCTTCGTTTACCCTTTATGAGTGATTTCAGCTCGAATCGCGTTACAGGTTATCGCGAATCGTTCGAAAATCACGAGATTCATTCTAGCAGTATTATCATTCCCGTTGAGATATCTCAGCGAAAAATCAATTGTATTTCGTCGTGAGTCAATGAGGCAGATTCTGTGCGAGGATAAATCCAACGTTCCGGAAACCTTCTGATTCCAGATCGCAAGAGGAGTCCACATACCCTGGCTACCATCTCGCCTACGAAGTCAAAAAACTCATGTACGCTTCTTTCGTTAACACTATTTTACGTTATGCGGTGGTGTTGTGTGAACACTGTGCGTGTTTCGTGCATCTCCGCGATTGCAGCACGCTTTCTAGATACATAATTGCATGCGAATATAACACAACTGCCAAGCTGTCTATTATAGTCCATAATAACCGTTTAATTTTGAGATTAACAGTTTACAGCTTTGCAATCTGGTGTCGTCTTTTTTTCAATAGAGACTAAATGGTGAATAAAGAATAGAATAATTGTGAAGGTAATGGTAGAATCGAATATTTGATGGAAATGAAGAACTGTTATCAGTTATAAGCTTTCCTTTTTATATTTAATACAACAATATCTATATTATTGTTATCTATTTTTGTACAAAAAATTTCAGTTTAAACTTGTATTAGACACTAGAGTAAAATTTTTAGAGAATATAGGCCATTCGTATATAGACTATAGGATTTTCTTTTGTAGGCAGAGTTAGGAAATTGGTGTTTTCTTTTGTTATTATTGCTTTAGCTTTTTTTGTGGATTTTTTAAACCGATACAACAGGTAAATATACATATGTATATATCAATATTGTACATAAAAATTATTTAAGCTTTTGAAAACCTCCTATAACGTCGGTCTGTGAGTGGCAGGTAAACAAATTGACGGATGAATATGGGACTGTCAGATGTAAAAAGTTGCTTTTAAAAGGAGAATATATTTTGTTGTATATAATTGTTCATATTTTTTGGCATGAATTTAAAAACGGTATTACACTCTGCGAACACGTAATATTCTGTATAATACAATATACTGTAGGTGCATTTGAAATATTGAATTAGTATTTTAGACTTTTTATAATATTACCCTTGCATGCGATATTGTGCATAGTTATACGATATTTAGAAGAATCATAACAAATTTTATTTTGTTCATTTTAGCAGATATACAGAGTGTAAAAAAAAAACAGTATTTCCCATGACTTTGTCACATGTATATCTGAATTATTGACAATTTTTAAATCTGTACTTTAAAATGGCATATTTTCTGGCATTAGTAGACTAGCTTATTAATTCAGCTTGAACCTAAAACTCTCAATTCTCTACACCTAGGCCTATCTTTTTATTGAAGTAATATTGCCACAATTAACAAACACACATAAAGTGTGCTACACGCACCAGTAACAATAGAAACCATTTAATTTTTCAATTCTACATAAAATGGAAAGTATATCGCCCTAAGGTAATAACAGCTTCAGGTAGACGCTCTTTTACCTTGTACAGCTAGTATAGAAAGAGATCAAGATATATCCTTACAGCTGATTGTTAGTCGAAGTCATTAACTATAGGACATTGTGTTCGCGTAATTTATACGCAGGGATATCAAAAATTTCGCGGAATGAAGCTGCCATTTTGTAGTATTCTTATATTATATTCCAGAATTTTATTTTGGCATTTGATTTGAAAAGTTGTTTTTTAAATAATAGAAAATCTGAACTTTGAGATACGTCTTGCAAACATCAAATTTTTCACAAAACTTGGTTGGCAAATGAGTGCCCACCTTACAGCCCCATTCTAGTTCCTTCAGACTTTTTCCTGAGTTCAAAAAGAAAAAAACAATCAAGTGTAATTCACTGGGAATCACCTAAACGTGCGTATTCACTTATTGCGTATCCTCGATCGTATCACTGTCGTCGTGTATCAATGTTGATGGGCAAGCGTTGCACCGTTCTGTATGGAAATGTTTCGTATGGTGATACGATACAATGATACGCAACGGTGATACGATACGAGGATACGCAACAAATGGATACGCACCTTTTAGCTGTAAAACAGACTGTTATAAACTGGGGTTCAGTACAGAGGATGCTTCCTGTTACAGGCGCAAGGTTTTGTAGAAGTGAAAATATACGATGCAAAAGTGCCTTGATAATAAAAGATCATACGTGGAATAGATAAACCCCTTTCTGATTCGTAACCTGTCTTTTATTCAAATTTTCCGCGAACTTTTTCATATCCCCACGTATACGATTCTACAATTTGGTGTTGTATGTGTAACGAAAGGTGTCGTGAACATTCGAAAATGTAACACGGTCTGCGTTAACATCTTTCAGGCCGACGAGCAGAGCATCGGGCGGCACGAATGTGAACAACAACGGCGGCCTTCAGGTCGGAATCGCCGACGACCAGGCGAAGGATTTCGACTTCGAGAAGACCGAGATGAAATACGACTCGACGGGCATGTTCCATTGGAGCCCGTCCCGCAACCTCGAAGACTGTATACTGGATCGTAATCAGGCAGCCATGACGGTTCTGAACGGGCACGTCGTAGTCTGCCTCTTCGCCGATCCCGATTCGCCCCTCATCGGACTGAGAAACCTTGTCATGCCATTACGAGCTTCCAATTTCCATTACCACGAGCTTAAACACGTAGTGATAGTTGGGTCTGTGGACTACATCCGCCGCGAGTGGAAAATGTTGCAGAATCTACCAAAGATATCAGTGCTAAACGTAAACCATGTTTTATCAGTCCCGTCTAACAAGCGCCTTCACCGATGCGATAATAACGCAGCTTGACCTTCCTGTCTCATTGTCACTTGCTAAGAGTTCTACATCTATTCCATTGTTTCTAAATACCATTCTTCGTCGGTGAGATTAGATTCAGGAAAATTTGTACATACGTTCTCGCTTCTATTCACGTAGAACATCCTATTCTTGGCCAGTAGCTATTGTTCAGAGGAGGACGGTTCTGAGTCGGTTTTGAATCTGTGGTTCAGAGTATTTCGAACTGGTTTAGTTGTACCTGTTTTTTCATGTGAATTACTTGACAAGTGAATTCGGACACAGAGATTTGTTATTTTTCTTTGTGTTGTTATAGCGATGTTACAATAATTATGCTTTTAGAAATAATTTTGAAATTCATTTCGATTAGGAAGTTGAAATACTTATTAGGTAATGTTAGGTTAGCAGAAAAGTAATGATCATTTAAATTGTTAACATTTGCTAGAGTAGAAGAATAAAAATAAAATACAACTTACAGTATAGAGAATAGAAAATGTATTGAGTATAAAGGAAGAAGTAGGATAGAGTAAAACGTAAAAATGTACATATCTAAGGAACTTTATTAACTTCATTGATTAAGAAAATTGACCATTTAGAGTACACATAACAGGTGCATGAAATACTTTGAACCAACAAATTCATTTTACGAACCGTTGTTTAATTATTAACAAATTGCATAAGAAGTTATTTCCATTTAACGTCTTCAATTGGAATCAAAATTATTTTCATTTTACAGTGTATCTTCAGAGATCACGCAAATTTTATATATGACACTTTTTTCAAATACTAGAAATGAAAGTTTCTAATGATAATAATCGTTTGGCGTAATGTCTAAACGGTAGGAGTAACATTCATTCCCCTTTCGCGTAAAATTTGAACAAACAGGGATTATAATCCCATTTCTGTGTTCTAAAATTACATCAAGATCCACGTAGTGTGTTATATATTCCGATCAGATATAATTATACTATTAAAGACAAAGTATACATGTTATTTAACGAATCTCGAACCAAAGAAAGTCTAGGATTCTGTATATATGCAAATCAAATTGATCTTGAAGTAATCATAAATTAGATAAATTGATTAGGGGAAACTAGTTTCCTATATTTAGTATTTTATAAATCTAGCTAGTTAGGTAGTTAGGACTTAATTGCAGTTGTATTTGTCCCGTAATACCCAGTATAGTACAGTTACCAAATTCCTCCCTTTGTATGAATATACATGGACCACCGTCGGTAGTACAACTCGAAAAGGGCTGATTTTACCTTTAAACAAAAATAGAACGTATAGAGCACAATTTTTTCGTTGAACAAAATTAATGGTGAAACTCAAGTACGAATTTCAATTTTACCTTTACGAATCTTCTTGACAAATTTCCAAAATTGACTTCTTCGAAATTTGTACAAAAAAATAATACTCAATATTAATTTGATATTATAATATCATTAATATCGCTCAATATTTTTTCGCATAGAATTATAATCCAACATAGTACGTAACGAACTGTTACTAAACAAAATAACTGTAGCAAAGGTTTAATCAGGTGTTGTTTTCCGAACCTGTATTATATTTAGAGATTTTTTTCTTTCTGTTTATGAAACGTTTAACAATAGGACTCCCATGACTGTGTTCACTTCTCGATCGCGTTTCACTGACCGTTTTTATCACCTGATTTCGATTTGTACCACCAGTTTGGTGATACCCTGTATAATTGAAATTCCTTCAAGTCAGTCGAAGGAAACTCTATCCTGTGTGGTAAATTCCGCCCGATTCTTACAGGGTTCACCATTAAGCAGAGCAGATTTACGCGCGGTTAACGTCAATCTGTGCGATATGTGTTGCATCCTGTCGGCTAAAGTGCCTAGCAATGATGACCCCACCCTCGCCGACAAGGAGGCTATCCTCGCGTCCCTTAATATCAAGGCTATGACCTTCGACGATACGATTGGAGTGCTCAGCCAAGGTACGATCACACTTCGATTGCGCTTGGTGGAAAGGATATAATCTAATCACAAAGTAGACAAGTGGATCCTATTGCTGCTGTAGGACCTAGAGTCATATCTGTCGCATCATTTCATAGGATTTGATTAGAGAATATCTGGAGCAGTATCATAAGCTTCCTTCCTAGAAAAGAATTCTTGTATTATATACCTAAAGTAGTCAATTTGGAAGTAATCCTCTGTGGCGGTTCAAACTTATTTATTGTCTATCACTCGTTTGGTGTCTAACCACTGTAAAAGACTTCTCCATTTCGGGGAGAACTTTTTTCTCGGTTTCATGTTTGTAAACGATGTCCTGTCAAGTACCTAAACCATTCAAAGTACATAATTCGGCGCAGAGCATTTTCTTCAATGATCATTTCCAAAAATTAAAATGTTCTTATGCCCTCTTTCCTGGTTTAAAAGGACATTTCACCGAAACGCGTTCAGTTCTATCTTAAAAATCACCTGGATAAACGAATCGAATTATAGAAATCATTATGACTCGCGAAAGAAATCACTTTTTGGTAGTAATGTAATGGCAGTCAGTTTTTACAATTAAGTGAAGGTTGCATTATATAGAGATACTAGTATCCTCCTTCACTTGCTGCCTATAAAGATACGTGCATGATACGAATACTCCTTTATCAGCCGTGGTAGAGCTTCAAAGAATAATAATGGCACATAGTAGCAATTCTGTCGTTAGCAGTAAGACCGTACATTTAATGTCTAGAATGTTAGAGTTTTTTCTGTGTTTATGTAGCTGTTACTCTCGAATTCAGGTAGAATCGAGACATGTTGTAACCCTAAAACCTTCGAACTCCATGTTTCTGTCAGATTTTTTCTCCTAGCATCTAAAAAATGGTAACTATATCTCTTCCATCAAGAGTAATCATCCATATTCGGATAATTTGCGGTCGCACCACACCCTGATTTGTCCCGTACACGTGTTTAATTAAATGTTAAGTGGTAATTCCAGCGAATAATAAGCAAGGTAATTTAACCGCAGTTGGCAGCCCGATCGTTTTACAGCGACGAGGATCCGTTTACGGAGCAAACGTGCCAATGATAACAGGTATCCGAAGCTGAATTCAATACGGTGCCTACGGGAATCACGGTGTTTCTCTAATCGATCCTCTAATTCTCTTTAGAACTCGTAAATGATAGCAACGTGCAGTTCCTTGATCAGGATGACGACGACGATCCGGACACGGAACTCTACCTCACCCAGCCCTTCGCCTGCGGTACTGCCTTTGCCGTCAGTGTGTTAGATTCGTTGATGTCGACGGTTGGTAACGTTATAAACGACATCATCAATTATATCACAAAATCAAATAATCTAGTAACACGGTTCAGTGAACAGTTACAGGTTCGAGGGAATTTCCAGTGATCTGAACACTTTAATGGACCTTCCTTAACGAAATTTCCTTAGATCTATCCCCCTTAAATATGACAAAATGTTCATGGTTTATCACGTTTTTTCGTTTATCATACTTTTCCTTTCCTTTCCTTGGTCTTTTTTATGCAGGAAATTAGAAATTATATCTTGTGATCTCTAACAAATACATGTTTGTTGGAACTCGAACGAATTCGTTGTTACGTTATTTATATAATTATTTTTCGCGATAAACATAACGACCATACGTTTTTTTTTTTTGACAAAGATAACAACTGCTTTTTCACAACTCGGCTAGATTGAATCGTGTTCAATACATCTCCAAATTGCAATTTGACAATCAACGCTATGAATCTATTTTTTTAAATCAATAGAAATGACGTTTATACTGCTCAAAATACGGTTAAAGAGTGTCGTACCAGGCAATCAAATTTTTTAAAATTCATTTTTTTGCCCATGCAATCCTGCAAAAATTACCCTCACCCTATAATCATTCGTAGTGTATTCTACAAATCGTTCTGTAAACGTGTTATTTTTCATTACAGACATATTTTAACCAAAACGCGCTGACATTGATCCGGTCGCTAATTACCGGTGGAGCAACGCCTGAATTAGAATTAATATTGGCTGAAGGGGCAGGTTTAAGAGGTGGTTACAGGTAAATTACACTCTGAATTATTTAATAATATTGCGATCTATCGTTTCTTGTCTCTTTTATTTAACTTACGTTATACACTTTTCTAGTAATATTTATCAATTTGTTTCTTATGAAAATCGTTCTTTTAATATAAACGTGGTTCGAAAAAACGACAGTACTTTCACGAATAGTCTAATGTTTTCGTTTGTAATAAATAAACAGCGGATGTTTATGCAAGTATAGATTTCTGTAGACTACTTTGCTGACAGTGGAGTCCAAGAAGAATGTGTTTCTATGATTAAAGTAAAGCTCTATAAGTAAAGTAAACAACTCGTTAGTTTTCGTTATACATCTTACAGTACTGACAATGTATTTTAGATAATTCTACATGCTATTAATGTATAAAATCCACGGTCTAGTAATAATAGTGCAGATCTGAATTAAGATTTTTGATCCCCCAAAAACGGGGAAAAGGGGTAGAGGGTACATAATTGGTCATTTTCATTTTTGATCCTGCTCTGTAATAGTGACAGTATATTTTGTATCGTTAATGCGTTTGTTGTATTTTCAGCACGGCTGACAGTCTGGCCAACAGAGATCGATGTCGAGTTGGCCAGATCGCGTTATACGATGGCCCGTTGGCCCAATACGGCGAAGGAGGCAAGTACGGTGACCTCTTTGTCGCAGCATTAAAATCGTATGGAATGCTGTGCATTGGTCTGTACAGGTACAGGTACCGGACTTTTTTCCCTCTCTCGATGGTATTTATTGGATTACTGTACACGAACATTGTACATTTATCTTTTCTCTAAAAGATTCTTGTCTCATCTGGCTGCTGCAATTGTTACACACCGCCGTTAATTATCTTTTTACCGTGCCATTCTCGTGCTCTCACTGTCACTATGTGAATTATGATTTGTTGCCGCATACTTTTTTACATTTTTCCGTTTCTTGCATCACGAAAACGCAACGTCGATCGTAAGTTGCCTTCATCCAACAAATACCTATCATTTCTCTTTACGTCTGTCTCTTTGTGTCATCTGTTTGTTTAGTGCTTAGTTACTGTCTGCCAACGTTTAGTTATAGTTTTAGTTTAGTTCTTGATCTTACATTATGTGTGTTTTAGTTCAGTCCGTAAATATCATTAATGTCCCGTCACTTCGTGCCTGCTGATCGTGAACGGTAAATTTTTAGGTTTCGGGACACGAGCTCGTCGTGCGACGCCTCGTCCAAACGATATGTCATCACGAATCCACCGGATGATTTTACGTTGTTACCTACAGACCAGGTAAATACATTCGTTAGACAGAAAGAAAAAGTTTCCGATATACTGATCACGTGTGCAGGGTGTAACAAAAGCGTCGTAGGTCCCTGAAATGGGTCACTCGTGAGGTGATTTGGAACAAGCCTTTCCTTAACAAAAATATTATCCGAGGCTTTGTTAACATTTTGCTACTTATTCCTTTTGAAATATTTAGCACTCCATGATAGAATCCATTAACCCTTAAGAGTCCTTAAGGACGCGGACCGTGAATACGCCATTTCTTTTTTCGTAACATCAAAAGGCAACAGCAGGCATTTTGTTTACCTTCCAATTTAATAATTTTCTATTTTGAATGATAGACAATTAGGACGAAAAAAAAACATTCTTCGAGTAAAAAGAATTGAGAGAAATAGAAGACATCTCCGTTCTGGTGGCGTACGAAATACCATAAATCCTTGATAAGTGTGCAAAGGCTCATCGGTACTGACAAGGAGAGTTTCCCAGGTGTAACGTTGACTTTTTACTGAGGTTCATCACAGTGATAGAGCTTAGAATTCTGAAGCCAATGATATCTGTTCTAGTCGCCTACCACCATTAGTTTATGAAATATTTAATCTTAAGTGCCAAGGAGCCTTCGAACACTCATAGAGGATTTACTGTACATCTTCCTCATCCTTGAGGACAAACGACGCTAAACAGACATTAAAAAGGACGAAGTATTGTTATTTAATAGTTTCGATTGCGTATTCGTGTACAGGTTTTCGTGCTAATGCAGTTCGATCCGGGTCTCGAATACAAGCCAAGCAGAGGTGCTAGAGGAAAGGACGATGCCTCCTGACTGTTGCTGTGTAGCGCCCTCACCGACGGACCTTATTCCTACATATAATCGTACAAAGGAAGCCATCATCATGCCGTCCGTCATCCCTACGGATCCATTTGAATCTTCGTTGACCGGGTTACATTTGGTACGACATCGCATGTCCTCAACGAAATTATCGCGAGACACACACCCCGTCCATAGAGAGAGCAAGCCATCATAATCAACACGTCCGTTTTTGTCCGCTGGTCACGCTGGTCCCGCCAGCGACGTTCTATCACGCTACACACCCCGCAGCCGGATCAGTTTCCCTTCATAGTGCTCCGACAAGTATTCTTCGGTTCCCTTGTTCAACCACCAATTCATCGCTGCGTGGATTCATCTTTTTTTACCACCGTGACCGATGCAATTCTTACGTTGAGACGCCGGTCGTAGCAAACAAGGGGACGAAAGACATCACGTGTGACAAGCGGGGATGAATGGAAAACAGAAATAGAGACATAGAGAGAAAGAGAGAGAGAGAGTGAGAGAGAGTGAGAGTGAGAGTGAGAGTGAGAGTGAGAGTGAGAGTGAGAGTGTGTGAGAGAGAGAGAGTGAGTGTGAGAGAGAGAGAGAGAGAGAGAGAGAGAGAGAGAAATAGTAACAAGATAATGCAAATCTGCCGATGGGGATAGAAGAAAGAACGAAGAGAAGAGTGGTGGAATGAAAAGGAAGCAAAGGGAAACGGGAAGCGGCATGGTGAATTATGGTCCGAGGGTAGCTACACGTTACGCTCTCTAAAATCTTCGTGAGATATATACATATATACATAATAAAGTATATCGTCTTCTGCGCGAAGGCAATATACGGACTGGAACGGCTTACCGTGAAGAGTAAAAAAAAACTGTGTGATTAAAATTCCCCCTCCCCATCCCTTCAGAGTAAACGTACAGAGGAGACGAGAAATAATATACCTACCCTACAAAAAAAACCCACAAAACGCGAAGCAAGCAAGCAGCTTAACAGTAATATTAAAAAAAAAAAAAAACGCTTGTGAACAACATCTTCAAGGCTGATCCGCTGAGGAATTGTTAATTGCGCCTTCGCGACATTAACGTATACCATCGCTGTAGCCTGATTCAGGATGTATGTAAATAGGTGCAGAAGAGACGAAACAAAAAAAATGTATTGTCGTTCTACCAGTAAACTGTAAAAAAGAAAAAAATGAAAAAGAAAGAACGGAGACGATGAAGACGGAGGAGGAAAGAGGATGCGGCGCAGAAGAGACATAAAAGGAAAAAAAAAACGTTTGTCGACGATATCAACCCTCATCGAGACATTTTTTGTCCTTAAACATGGAAACCATCGGTCACCTTCGCAGGACAGAATTCGTGTGTTCGTCTCTCATATCGTGATTTTGTACCTTGCCTTGCCTGCAACAAGTACGCATGCGTATATATATGTACATGTATATGTATACATATGCATATGCAGGGTGATCCGTGGAACTGAAACGAACTGGCCGACAGACGGAATAAAATTAATGAAGCATAATATTCCGTGATTCGATAAAATCTAACTTCTAACTATATATTCTTTACTGCTACGTTGTTTCCCTAAAAAGAACGTTTCTCCCACACGTATATAGGCAGAACGTCTCAAATAAGATGGTTGAAAGATGAATTTTTTTTTTTATACAAAATACAATATTTAAACGATTTCTATCGAAAGTCTACTTTGTGATAAAAGTATCGCGTGTTCGCTGGTTCTTTGTTTTTTTTATTTAATGTATATTCAAGTGTACAATTTGCCACAAAGGCATTAGGTACATAGTTTGCGTTCAAATATGATTAGAGTGTTCAATATGTATACTTCAACCATTTTGCAATTGCAGAAGACTGGTTACCATTGAATCGTTCATTCTCGCAGATTCGTCGAGAAATCTTATTCCCTTTCAGTTTAATACATTCGATAAACCATGAAAAAGAAAAATCCACGAAATTAAAGAACCACGTTAGGTGGTCGTGTTCGAAGAGAATAAACATAAGTACCTCTTGCGGTTTCTTCGTAACTTCGCGAAACAGTACGAAGTTGCACAAGGGTCGATTTCACGAGAACACGGAAATTTGTGCTTTCATATTTTTCCCTCTGTATAATCAGAGGAAGACCGCGGTTCGGTTTCGTTACGGGGATCGCCTTGTGTACATAGCTTTAGATTCGGATCCACTTGTAAACGATGTGGCCGAGACATAATTAAATAATAGAGTGCGTGTGAACGGGAGTGCGGGGGCTACGTGTGTGTAACCTTTCACTTCGTGTCTTGTGTCGTGGCTAAGGACGACGAAGAAAAAAAAATCTCAATCAAGCACTTTGTACAGGTTCTATACATACAACGTATATATATATGTATTTATACAGACACATGTATATATATATATATATACATATATATTTATATATACATATATACATATATATACATGACGAAGAAGAAAGAAAAAAAATGAAACACCCTTTTCC